AGGCAAGGCAGGCAGCCACCTTCGCTCTGCCTTGGCTGTCTGCTGCCATATTTTAAATTAACCTGTTAAATACAGCTTACAATATTTTTATTTTATTTATTCTATTTTTACTGAAAACGCCCTGCGTTGTTACGTCGACGCGTCGCCTTTCCTGGACGCGCGCTTGTCGCATTCTCCGCTCTGTCCGCTACAGGTTGCCTGCAAAAGGCAGGCTTTGTCATTGGTTGTAGTCCCATTTTTATTGAAGTCTGTAGAGAAATCGTGTAAAGCAGAGCCGCTTTCCTCATCTTTTTCAAGGCGAGGAGTAAGTTGGAGGCCGGTATCGCGCGTCAGCTCCGTCAGCGATACGCTCCCTTGCGGAAGTGAGGAGGTTGATACTCGCAGTCACCAACTGAGGGATAAAAAGCCTTTCTTTGGAAATCTGCGGTGCCGGCTGCAGGCTTGCTTTAAGCCACTTTCCCTTGAAGGGGAGCGAGGGGGCGTGGGAGCTAAAGGGCTACAGCGGCCACTACGGGGTGGTTAGACAGGGGTAAGGGCCGTGGGGGTGCCAGGGCACAGAACCCGGGCACAGGGCGTCCTGGGTCACGCACCTGGCGCGCGCAGTCACCTGCTCCTGTTGAAATAATGCGTGACCAAGGAGGAAAGGCTGTGGGGTGACCTACTCATAGCTCACCCCAGTTCTGTGTCACTAGGAGTTCGACGTCCCTTTTCCCTGTATCAATCATTTCACGGATCATTTTTACTAGGGATCTACAATTTTTAGTACATCACCCTCGGAACAGTGAACTTTGTTTCAGCAGCCGCAAGGGGCTCGGCCCTCCCGGCGTTCCCGGCTGACCCCGTCACCCCCTTCTCGGGCAGGTTAATTACTACATCGCTACACCTTGGCTGCCCCGACAGCGGGGGCGGGTTTGATTGAGCAGCAGCAAGAAGGGGACGCACCCCCTGCTAACGAGCGGAGAGCTCAGTCGTATGCAGAGCACCCGACTGACGCCAAAAAGGACAGTTTTCCCTGCTGTTGACCACTTCTCCACACTGAAATGTAATCTGTTCTGAGAATAAATTTAGCTGCATACGACGACCGTCTCAACTGTTGCTGTCCAGGAAAGGGGGAGATTGGTTTTGTTGCAAGCTGTGGCTGAGGGGAGGGGAAACGGTGCTGCTCGCTGGGCGACACCTCCGTACCCGCAAAGCTGAATCGGGTGTCTGGTTGAGAACTGCAAGGATGTAGCTGGGTCACAGAAAGTGACCTGAGATCGAGCGGTACTAGAGAACGTCACCCAGTGTTTAACCGAGCGTACAGGCCTCTCCCTCCCAGCCGCTGCCCCCACGCGACGGCCGGTGCTCACGCAGGAAGCTGCCGCCCTGCAGAACCAGCTCCCCAGCCAGACTCACGGGAGGGCGGCGAGACTCGAGGGGGTTTCGCCTCCGTAACACGTCACAGACTCAAAGCAAGAGGCGGCCAGCTGCGGGACATCACGGTGCCTGTTACGTAAGTAGCTCGCGACTTCTGTCATCAGACACACGCATGTTCATTTAGAAGTAAGTTTTAATTACATTTAATAAAGGAAACATCCAGATTTTGATTTAGAAAAAGAGAGTTTGGTTCTCTAACTGCAGAACCTCTGCTCTCATTTTAAGCATTTAACAACAGTATGAAACAACCCCACAAATCTCACCGTCCGTTCCTTTCATCTAACACAGAGAACCTCTCCTCCTCCAAGACGGCTTTGAGGTAACACTGGGAATGTTATTCCCGGTTCCGCATGCGCCAAGTCTAGATCCATCCTCAGACATTTGTTGAGAAACGGGAGCGGTCAGCGCTCGCCCTTCTGCTGAAAGAGGCGAGGAGCACAGGTTACTTGCAGGAGCATGCGGTGGGGAGCGACACCTCTGAGCAGGACGGCCGGCCCGGGCGTTTCCACCGACGCGGCGCTCCGTGTCTGGTGAGCAGGAGCCAGCTCTCCACCCTGCCGGCGTGGCTTCTTCTGGAGGCGGTGCTGCTCCAGCCACAGGCTGGTGTGGGAGGGAAAAACACAAGAGGTGTTAAAACATCTTCCCTGGGTGGGTGCAAATATGGCCTCGGGGACGCACCAAACAGGCGACGAGCCCAGACGGTGTTGGCCACACTACTGGCAACGCTCTTTCCAAATACGGGAAATGAGAGCCTAGAGGAAAACTTCCCTCCTGAGCCACGGCTACGCTCTGCCCTTCCATACTGCCAGGCTGTCTTCGTTCACTGCTACACCAGTACGACCGATGTAAGTACAGTTCTTGAGGCTCCTCGTCCTCGCTGGCCATTTTCCTGCTTTACACCATCCGTATTTAATACTAAATCAGATTCCTGTTGAAAGTCTCTCCGTGTGTCCCTTTTCCCCTCTGCTCCTAAGCCAGCTGCCGATACCTAGCGCTTACTTTACCTTTGCCAGCAACACGGGGCAGGCGGGAGGCCTATGGCTACTTCCAAAGACAGACAAACTGTGTTCAGTCGTTAGCCAGCTGACGGCCACAGCACTTCTAAAAACACCTTACTCCGACAGCTCTTTTTGGGTAAGACGGCGCCTGCGAAGGAAGCAGCGTGACCCACGACAGTCTGCTGTGGCACTTCAGCGGGTTTAGCACGAGGATACTGATCCGGTTTTCACCGTGTTTTGAGGTGCAGCTGAGGGCACAGGTACCGCAAAGCCTGCGCGCGTCCTCCAGTGCGTGCAGCCAGCCCCCCCGCAGACGTTCGCATCTAGCTTGAGGAGCGAAGGTGCGGTGGGCGGCTTTCCCACCTGTTGCGGCCTGAATGGGAACCCACAGAAATGCCACCTGGCCACTTGTGAGGAGAAACAGCCACTTAAAAGAGAAACCAAACCGAATATTCCTGCAGGTCTGTGTGGCTCACGGGGGAACGACCGCCCTGTCTGCTTTAGCTTGTGGCTTCAAGCGCGCGGCAACAAGCTGCCGCGGTCTGATCTCGCTCCCTCTGGTCTGTCACCGGGCTTGCGCAGCTGCGCTGGCTCTAAGGCGTAACCACCAGTTTAACACCGCTAACATCAGTTTAACACGGGTGTTTCCGTGCAGATATCCCACAACGGACGTGTCCCACAGCATAAAGGCACACTGTAACCTGGGTGTTCCGATTCCCAGATGCAGGAATCTTCACCCTTTCCGGGCAGGAAGGGAGGAAGCGTGAAGGTTCTCACAGCCACGGCCGAGGGTGGCTCAGCGCGGCTGCCTTGGCGCCTTTAGAGAGGGGCGGTGGGCGCATCCCGCCACCCAAACCCTTTGCTCCCGTCCCGCCGTGAGGGCAGCGATGAGGTGGTATCCTGGGTTTGTTTCCCTGCAGAATTGGGTATGGTGGAGGCAGAACGATTTCCACGGGCTTCAACACGAGCCGCTCACGTTCTGCCCGCGCCTTCCTAGCGCGCGTCTCTCCTTGGCGTGCCGTGCCCGCAGGCGGCGCGCGAGGCCTGTGCTTCGGCGCTGCAGGCAGAGCCGTGGCTGAAATGAGGTTGAGGGATTTCGTCAGCTGAACCGAGCCGCTCGTTCGCTTCCCGTCCTGCTGCCTGTTTCCTGCTTTAGACAGGGAAACTTCGGCCTTAACAGTCGGCACGGCGTGACGGTGAAGGAACTCGGCGATCTTCGGCTCCCTACCACCACCAGCAGTCTTCTGCGGACGCTGCTGTATTTTCAGTTGCTTCTTGCCCTCTTCCTTTGATTTTTCTTCAACAACGCCATCCAGGAGTTCTTTTGCTGCAGCGCGAGCCAAAATGTCCTTAACAGACACATTTTCCGAAGACTTTTTCTGAAAATTTCAAAGGCAACAACAGTAAATCCAGGGCACAACACAGAACTGCGAACGCAGCACTTTAAGCCCAGATTCCTCAGAATTTACTGCCCAAGAAAACCACGGCGGAATCGAAGTCACATGGGATCAAGGCTAACCACACTGGGCCGACAGGGAAGCTGGGGGGGGGGCTTTTTTTAATCAAGAAATAAAGAACGTGGCTTGTGACAGGTGGTATCTGAGCTTTTGCTCTTCAGAGCCTTTGCCCTCCACAGAGGAGGGGAATCTGAACTGTGGGCTTGGTGCTGCACAGCTCCCGCACCGATGCCTGTGACGTTACACGTACGTCTGTATGCGCGTGTGTGTGGATCAAAAATAATTATTAAATGCAGAAATATCAGTAAAATTAAAGACAACTTTCATGATAATGAAAATCATAGAATGAATCACAGAATGGTTTGTGTTGGAAGGGACCTTAAAGACCATCTAGTTCCAACCCCCCTGCCACGGGCAGGGACACCTTCCACTAGACCACGTTGCTCAAAGCCTCATCCAGCCTGGCCTTGAACACTTCCAGGGATGGGGCATCCACAGCTTCTCTGGGCAACCTGTCCCAGTGCCTCCCCACCCTCTCCAGGAAGAATTTCTTCCTGATATCCAATCTAAACCTCCCCACTTTCAATTTAAACCCGTTACCCCTTGTCCTGTCACTGCAGGCCCTTGTAAAAAGTCCCCCCCAGCTTCCTTGTAGCCCCTTCAGGTACTGGAAGGTGCAATAAGGGCTCCCCGGAGCCTTCTCTTCTCCAGGCTGAACAAGCCCACCTCTCTCAGCCTGTCCCCATAGCAGAGGGGCTCCAGCCCTCTGAGCATCTCCGTGGCCTCCTCTGGACTCGCTCCAACCGGTCTATATTTCTCTGTGAAGTGTTTTTAAATGGTAATTTTCGGAGCTTACCTCTCTTGCTAGAATAGCTAGAAAACAGCCACTGGAAATTTCTGATGGCTCCACTTTGAAAAACATTTCAGAGGAAGCCTTTGTACTGGAGCAAGTAGAGAAAACAGGAGGAATAAGCCTGTAAAAATAAACAGATGACCAGAAAATAATATTATGGGATATAAAAGGAAATAAACAAGGACATATTAAAAGTAATTTCCAAATTACATCTTCAAACATACAGTCTTATAGAGCCTTATCTTACTATAGTACCCATTTTTAAAAACTGCAGTGCAAGAAAGACATGAGAATTCAGTTTATGAGAATGAATTCTGGGTATTTTTCCCACTTTTTCCAATGCTCTTTTTTCCATTAATTAAGCAAATTAACCACCAAATAATAAATATGTGTGAACATAATTAACAACTGTGTTCTCAGGTCTGCAGTTTCTGGATTATCAATCTGTGCATGAAGTTGGGGAACGCTCTGAACACCTGAGCAGTACACAGAAACCGTGGAGGTGTTGTTGACTTTGAGGGATTAAGGACATGCCTAGAATAGATACATCATTTATCTAAGCTAGAAAACTTAGGTTATAAAAATCTGCCTATTTGTAACAACAAAGTGCTGCTTTCCCAGATTTCCAGTTTGGCAATACACCACTGAGGAAGGAGGAACTAGATCTTTGTCATGTTCTCCCTGTATTCCAGTAAGCCCTAGGTGTCACAAACAGGCCTCAAGGACTCGGCTTGCAAGGCTGCTAAATGCCATCAAAATGTCTTCAACCCTCTCTTCCCACTGCTGATGACTGTAAGATACTTTTCTTGGGGAAGAAAATGAATATTATGCAGATCTGTGATGATCACAGAGTGTAACTTGCCTCTCAGAGACACGACTATGAACACAGAGACTAGTAATTCTGCAACAGAGTTTTTCATTCTATCCTGCATTCTTTTAGTCAAACCCAACTCGCTCTAAGGAAAGTGTTCAAGGAGCTGCTGTCAGCAGCACAGGCATCTCACAGCTTCCTTGTAGCCCCTTCAGGTACTGGAAGGTGCAATAAGGTCTCCCCGGACCCTTCTCTTTCTGGGCTGCCAGCGCACACGGCCGGCTCATGTCCAGCTTTTCATCCACCAGTACCCCGAAGTCCTTCTCCTCAGGGCTGCTCTCTATCCACTCTCCACACAGCCTGTCCTTGTGCTTGGGATTGCCCCAGCCCAGGTGCAGGACCTTGCACTTGGCCTTGTTGAACTCCATGAGGTTGGCAGTGGCCCACCTCTCCAGCCTGTCCAGGTCCCTCTGGATGACATCCCTTCCCTCCAGCGTGTCGACCGCGCCACACAGCTTGGTGTCGCCAGCAAACTTGCTGGGGGGAGCACTCAGTGCCACCATCCATGTCACTCATCTTAGGACTGGCATAATCACGCTGTATATTTTATTGATGATGGTTTCTTACTCCTCTGCTTACACTGGTTACCAGCAGCTTTACTGCCAAAAGAACTGTGGGAAAAGATCCGATACACCTGCGTGGCAGCGAAAGAGGAGCTGGTTCTGGAACCGCCACTGCTGAAGTTCAGTCAGGCTGCAGACACAGATTGGCTCAGGTCTGCAAAACTCCTGCTGTAATTCTAGTCTCCCTTCCTCACCATCTGAGATTGCCTCGTATTTGAAAGGAAAAGTATAATTTGGCGGTTTGACAAGTTTCATGATGTTTCTATGCCACTTATTCCATTCCTTTTGGTGGTAAGGGAGTACTGAGAGGCAGCAAAAAGCTCTCAAATACTGGTGTAATGCAAGAGACAGTGTCGGGTAAGAATCAGGCTACAGTTTATAGTTATACTTCAATTTTTCCACACAAAACTACTCATTCCATACCTATACGGTTGTACTTTACTTCCTTCCACTCCAGATTCCAGTGCTTTTTCCACTACTAGCTCATTTTCTTCTGGGTAAACTGAGCAAGTGCAGTAAACAATAGCTTCTACTTTGTTAACTACAAAACAACAACAAACATTCCCACTGTTCAAATCCTTCATGCACACACAGTGGTTTTATTAAGAACTGTAAGAACCATAAAAAACTATGCTGGGATGTCACTTTTACCAACAAAATAAGATCCTCCTGCACACAGCAGTGTTCAATCTCTAGTGGTTTTTAACAATGAAAATGAAGTATTTGCCGGTTTCAGCACAAATTGAAGAGCTGCATCCGGCCTTCGGCACAGCTACCAAAGGAGGGGGAGCAGGTGGCGGCGTGACGATCAGCCACACCGAGGCAGTTCCCTAGACGCTGCTGAAGACTACTCTGTCAATGGCTGGTGAATCCTAGGACACAGAAACACCTTCCAACCTCAGGAGAGCATTATTTAGGGGGTTTGGTTACACACTTCGCACTAACTAAGAGAGTAATCGGTGTATTTTTCGCTAGCTGGTGATTGCACAATGGAGTTGCTAGTATGAGCTCTGCCCAGAAATCGGGAGCGGGCACACTTACATTTCATGGCGTGCATCAACTCGGCAAGCTGCCTCTCGGCAAGAACACGGAGTTTATCCTCAGATACAGATCCCTGGAAGAGGTCTCTTAGCAATCCTGCATCTGCATGCAGAGAGTTGTAAGTTTATTTTCAGGCGCTAATACAGGTTGCAATAAGTCAGTTTGCAGAAGACGCTTGGTAACAGACCTAGTTACTACCAGCGCGGCAGGAAGGCAGGTTTTACAAGTTACAATACTGAGGAATGCCTAAATGATTCCACTCTCCCTCTTTACCTGTAGTGACTACTGCCCCTCCTTGCTTCTGTTTCCCACAAACAGTCAGCAAAGGCATGAAATCGATACACAATGACATACGCACTGGTATCCTGAAGTATATTTTCTGCCTATAGTGTTTTTACTTTAAAAAAAGGCTATAACCACGCTGCTCCTCAGAATAACCCTCACACTTCATACTGTCCACCTGGAGCAGACACGCAGAATTATGCAAGCTATTCCATATATATGTTTTATAGTAGTTAAGACAAGGAAGGTGGGTTTTTTCATAAATGATACAATTTACAGAAGTAGCTACGACGCCCAGACAACAGCACCCGAGCACTGTTTCTAGCAGAAAGCATGCACTAGCTGTTGTATCAAAAGTTACCTCCGTGTTCCTCTACAATAAAGTCTATTGGACTTCCGATGCCCAGCCCAGAGCACTGCGGCAGCAGCAAGATAACTTTTGCCTTTTGAAGTCGCGGGTCTGTTGGTTCAAGCTCCGTGAAGTCTTCATGTAACAACTCAATATCTGGAAAAAAGGGAGAAACTCAACCAGTTCTAGTTGCAAGCAAGCCTGCCCAATTTTAATGTGACAAAGGAGAAGAGTCAGTGGTGTTACAGACTTCCAGCCTGCCAGACCCACATCCTGCCAAGCACGCCCCACCAACTTCAGGCTGCAGAACTAGCCAGCCCTTACGTCTGCCACTGAAAAACTGGTAACGCGGTTCCAGAGGCTCCTTGCGTTCCGTTCTGACAGTGTGCTCCAGGTAAACTGGACAAGTGCATAGCTTTTGGATTAACACTCTCAAACAGCTGAAAACCAGACCAAAACCCACAGCCAAGACACCAAATAAACGGACCCAAAAGTTGCCAGCTACCAGCGACACCGACAGCTATCCAGTAACTACTTATATGGAAAAATCCACCCCAACGTCTCAGGAACCTGCATCTATGACATGGTTAACCTGCAACCTTGGATAACTGGACAGCAGCTGAAGGGCTGTCAGTTCACCTTCGGACAACAGACAGTTGTTACTGCCCTCCCCAAGCCCTCACACAAGGGATCTGGGAATTCCAACAGAACTACACCGCATTCGTGGATAACCCAACCATCCACATTCCAATTCTCACGCGTACCAGCTGTTCTAACACCTACTCTGACATCCCATGAGACTGAACGAGTCCCTCAGCTCTCCTATTTTCGCCAAAGATCTCACACCGCAAACAAAAACGGTGGCCGTGCTGTCGTTTGTCAGCACCGACAGGTGGGCTACGGTCAGGTGGGAACCCACGTGAGCCACGATCGTGTCATCGCCGGGACTCAGCAGTGCCCGCCCCGAGTGTACAGCCAGGCTGCGGGACTTGTCCTAGAAAAGAGCGATGCAAGAATTAAGGATGACCAACTAATCCGGTTTCTGTGAATGCCAACCTTCTTGTCCAAATTAGGAAAGCATTTAATTGTTCTCAGGACAAACGGGCAAGATGGGAGGAGAAAAACTGACCAGAGGTATCAGCTAATGTAGAGTTAAATAGAGTACAAAACCACACATCTTATTAAGGCACTCACTAAATTTAAATAATTTAATTCTAACTAATGCATAAGAAGGCATCATATAGAATCAGAGAGTCATAGAATGGTTTGGGCTGGAAGGGACCTTCAAGACCATCTAGTTCCAACCCCCCGGCCATGGGCAGGGACACCTTCCACTAGACCAGGTTGCTCAAAGCCTCATCCAGCCTGGCCTTGAACACTTCCAGGGATGGGGCATCCACAGCTTCTCTGGGCAACCTGTGCCAGTGCCTCACCACCCTCTCCAGGAAGAACTTCTTCCTGATATCCAATCTAAACCTCCCCACTTTCAATTTAAACCCATTACCCCTTGTCCTGTCACTACAGGCCCTTGTAAAAAGTCCCCCCCAGCTTCCTTGTAGCCCCTTCAGGTACTGGAAGGTGCAATAAGGTCTCCCCGGAGCCTTCTCTTCTCCAGGCTGAACAAGCCCAACTCTCTCAGCCTGTCCCCATAGCAGAGGGGCTCCAGCCCTCTGAGCATCTTCGTGGCCTCCTCTGGACTCGCTCCAACCAGTCTATATCCTTCTGATGCTGAGGGTTCCACAGCTGGACGCAGCGCTCCAGGTGGGGTCTCACCAGAGCAGAGTAGAGGGGCAGAATCCCCTCCCTCGACCTGCTGGCCATACTTCTCCTGATACAGCCCAGGATACAGTTGGTACTGTTTCAGTTTGCAGGTCGTATTACTCACGGGTGACATCAACTCACCTGCAGTAACAGTTTGCAGTCTGCAAAAAGATCTAACTTCAGCAATTCTTCTTTAAGAGAGGAAGGAAAAAGCAACACATCGTGGCAATGTTGGTCGGTACAGTACGTGTAACGGTCGAAGTCTGACACCGTTTCAACTCTTGTGAATCCCTTTTTCTTCAAATCTTGGATAACATCCTGAAGGCTGTTAACACACAGCTCTATTAAATATCCCAGGGTTACTAAGCAACACAGTTCACATTGATTACATGGATTTTTGCCTTTAATTGTTTTAGTATGCCTGTATATCTATGCATATATGTCCACAGAATGCAATACTGCCTAATACAGGAGGCGAAATCGCTCTACTTTAGGCACATAAATTAGGGTTTGAAACGAGTTACGAAGTCTGATAAATTAAATTAAGAAAGAGAAATGTCTGTCCAGAAGTTGATTCAAAGCATCAAGATATAAACGTTCGTGTGCTCAGGAGAGGCTGCAGCAAATTTCCTGCTGGAACAGTTTAGTTCTTCCAATTGCTTTCAATTTAGCCCAGCTTGCCAAAGAATGCCATGTCTGATATCTGAAATAACCCTTGTGTCAACGGAATAAAGGCATAAATGCTGAGGTGATTCTGCCCCTCTGCTCTGCTCTGGTGAGACCCCACCTGGAGTGCTGCATCCAGCTGTGGAGCCCTCAACATCAGAAGGATATAGACCAGTTGGAGCGAGTCCAGAGGAGGCCACGAAGATGCTCAGAGGGCTGGAGCCCCTCTGCTATGGGGACAGGCTGAGAGAGTTGGGCTTGTTCAGCCTGGAGAAGGGAAGGCTCCGGGGAGACCTTATTGCACCTTCCAGTACCGGAAGGGGCTACAAGGAAGCTGGGGGGGACTTTTTCCAAGGGCCTGTAGTGACAGGACAAGGGGTAACGGGTTGAAATTGAAAGTGGGGAGGTTTAGATTAGATATCAGGAAGAAGTTCTTCCCAGAGAGGGTGGGGAGGCACTGGAACAGGTTGCCCAGAGAAGCTGTGGATGCCCCATCCCTGGAAGTGTTCAAGGCCAGGCTGGATGAGGCTTGGAGCAACCTGGTCTAGTGGAAGGTGTCCCTGCCCATGGCAGGGGGGTTGGATCTGGATGGTCTTTAAGGTCCCCTCCAACCCAAACCATTCTATGATTCTACGTTTGCAATTCCAGTATCATAAAAATTTAAAGGTATATACACCAAGACTCGTTTGTTGAAACGCAGTTTCAGACAGTGCCATACTCTTATACGGTACATGAAACGTCGTAGGGCCAACACAGCAGCCCTCAGCTCAGTCTGAGTTAAGGGTTGCAAAATCACAACCAGAGTAAGACACCTCCCCTGTCATGAAGAGCCTATAACGAATCACAGGAACACTGGTCCAAGGCAAGAGTATCAAAGAATTGTTGAAACCATGATAAAATGGATTACCTGTCTAAGAAAGCAGATGCAGGATAACCTGCTACGGTTCATGTACCAGCCAGCACAGAACTGGAAACACCAGCTTTACACACATAGAGTAGCCCACCGAATGGAATGATTTTTAAAAAAGTGTAGTTTTATTTCAAGTTTACACTATCCTTACAGAATAAACACCAGTTTTAAGTACTGTATCTGTCTTAACACGCTTTGCCAGTGTTCTGGCTTACAGTAATGCACCCACTTTTTAAGAAGTTTTCTCTATTTTTTCATCACAGTTTACTCACCCATGTAGTTTTTTCTAACTTTATTTCCTCACTTATGTGGTGAAAGACCCACAGAAGCAACAGAACAGTAAGAAAAACTGTTTTACAACTTGATTACAGTTTATGAACATCATACTGCAATATATAAAAAACACAAACGTAAGGCAACATCACTGGACTTACCTGAATTCACTATAAAAAACCAAATTACTGGAAATAATACAAGACTGCAAACTACTCTATCACTTCATACGTAAAAACCACCAGTATCAGCTTATACTTTAAAGACCTTACCTGATTTTAAATGTGTTTATCCAAGCACACAAAGGTAAAGCAGAAGCCCTTTGTTCCTGCTTCCGTACGGTCTCTGGCAGAACGTATTCAATTGAAAGCGCATCACGTCGGATGCGACACCTCGCTAATGCAGCTGCCAGTTTGGTCCTAAAACTACAAAACCATAAGCCTAAGTTTAGTAACTTTTATAAATGTTTACACCAGCTATTACCATCTAGCTCAGACACCAGCAGTAAGGCCTCGTGTAGCAAGCTGCTGGGGGAAACACAGGGTTATAGGACATTTTCTACCCCAGACAACGGCAGATGCAAGGTCGCAGTAGACAGGCTAAGACAGTTTTACTTCAGTGCACATGGGACTGGCATTGTGACAGGTGACTCAAATATGTAGTTTTCTCAGCTAAAAAAAAAACCCAAACAAGCCTGTTTTGGAACTGCAATCTGTGTAATACAATCATCAGATTTTCACGTATGACAGAAGATGTAAATATTTACAAGAGCAGAATGGGCATCTGATGAAAGCTGACCTCTAAATGTGTACAGAAACCACACAAGAACGATGGCAACCAGGAGTCAGTGTTATCATTATTACCACGTGACAATCTCTGGAGAGAATATTCCCAGTCTTTTCTTCCCACAAGCTTTATATCTTGATACAGGGTAACTCAAAGCAAGTAAAAATTGCTGGTGAGCTAGTTCAGATGTCAAAGTGTGTAACTCGCTGCCCTCCTGGAACAGCTTGCGCTTGTGATATTCATGAGCTTTTGGGGCTACTTTAAATCCAGCAGCAACACCATTGTGTCCAACAAATGCCTGTGGAGTTCATCAAACTGACGAAAGAAGTACTTGAACACTACTTAAAATATCTATTTTACATATCCTTTTTTGGTCCCAATTACCTAAAATAATAAATATCTAACAAAGTTCCATAGTAATAGTATTTTGACATAAATAGATATTATTCCATTCGATAACCTCATGAATATTACACTCACATTTATGAATGTTTACTGAGTCTTTAATTTCTTTCCTAAAATTCTATGAATAAGGTTTCAACGACTCCTTTTTCTAAAAAAAATAATCCTCATGAAGTTCAACAAGGCC